TTAACTTTATGTTGTAAAGACTTTATAACTAGTAATTTGATAGAGGTAAGATATGCATACATCTTAACCCCCCCCCCCCCCCCCCCCAAAACAAAAAAAAAAATTTTTCTCCTGACTCCAAATCACTTCCCTTGATATGCCTCCCTTTGGTACACCATCACATGTCTTCTCCCGGTTTATAATGCATAGATCATATAAATCATGTATAATTGTATAACACAAATGTACTTGCATCTTCAAACTCAAATATGTACATAATTGCAACTTCAACATCCTATTTACAGTCCTCCAAAATCTACGTAAAATATGAACATGTTTATACCAAATGAAATCAGAATAATGATCAAATCTTTTACTATTGACAAACCAATCAACCAATCAACCAACCAATTCATCTAAATAACCAACCCAAGGTCCAACCAAGCAACAAACCAGCACCTGCAAGAGTCAAACCCAAAAGAATGCTCCCAAAAGACTTGCCAATTTTGTATCTTGGTGAGCTAGGCTCTGTCTTTGCTGGCTTATGCTGACCCTTTTTCTGTTGTTTGCCTTTGATCGGGATCCATGGAACAAAATCTGGAAAGCGTGTATAGATGGGCTGACACTTGCTGTTTCTAAGACTAGTTTCCATTTGCAATATATGGAACCACTGCTTGTAAGCAAAGAGCTGTGAAGCTTGCTTCAGAAAGTGGGTGATCATATGTTCTTTTTCATTGTAGGCTTTCTTTGCTGCTTCCTCTGCCTGCCTTGCTCGTGTTTGAGAATGGCAAAGGGCCTCCAACAGCTGAGCCTTGCTGAGTTCACTACTAGGTGCTTGCATGTTTTCAGCCTCACCGGATGTTCTGCTGCTGTTATGAAATGGTCAATTACATCAAATAGAAGTTCATTCTTATGCTATGTTTGCCAAGCATAAGCTAGCTTACTTTTTTATCTTATTGAAAAACCTTCGCCATAAGCTAGATTTTTTAAAAAGGTACTTCAAGTAACGTTTCAATAAGCTCCAGAGGTTTTTTCCAAAAAAAATTCAATTATTTTAGCCTCAACTCTTTGCAATTAATTTTTCAACATGTTCATTTAGGTCATTTTTCATCATCATCTAGCTTATACCAAACATACTAGTTTACAAGCTAGTTTTCACCAAGCATGACTAGTTTATCAGCTAGTTTTCACCAAGCATGACTAATTTATCGGCTAGCTTATTAGCTAGTTTTCACCAAGCATGACTAATTTATCAGCTAGTTTTCAC